TTAGTTATGCAAAAGCGTTCACAATGCCAGTATAGAAATGTTTTAAGCTGATACTGAAGTTAACTCTTTTGTTCCAGCTAATTGTTAGCTTTGTGTACAGTATACATACACTGAATCTCTGAAAGTTCTGTCAATGTATGATTGTAGCCGTTTCTGTACTAACTTTAGCAAAACTTTAATGTTCAGTCGTTTCAAGAGGTAGCATATGATCAAGAGCCAATAATCCCTGAAGGAGGAAATCCAAGGTGCATTGAAGAAATTGGCAAACAACGTGGTACCAGGAATTGATGGAATCAAAATTGAAATCTTTCAAGAAAGTGAAGCGGCACAGGAGGCACTCACTCATCTCTACCAAGAAATCTGGCCAACTTATTGGAAGAGATCCATATTTGCGCCGATTCCAAAAACAGGTGGCCAAACGGAATGCAGAAGTCATCGGACAATCTCTTGGATATCCCATGCAAGTAAAGTTTTTACTAAAGGTAATACAGAAACAGCTGCAAGCATACATTGACAGAGAACTTCAAGCCGGATTCCAAAGACGCTATGGAATGAGGGATATCATTGCTGATGTCTGATGGATCTTGGCTGAAAGCAGAGAATATCAGAAAGATGTTTACCTGTGCTTTATTGACTACACAAAGGCTTTTGATTGTATGGATCATGACAAGCTATGGACAACATTGCGAAGTAAGAGTATTTTGGAACACTTAATTGTGCTCATGATGAATCTGTACCTGGACCAAGAAGCAGTTAGTTTGAATAGAAAATGGGAACACGGAATGGTTTAAAATTAAAAAAGGTGTGCAACAAGGTTATATTCTTTCACCATACTTATTCAACCTGTATGCTGAACAAATAATCCGAGAAGCTGGGTTCTATGAAGAAAAACGTGGCATCAGGATTGAAGGAAGACTCATTAACAAATATGCAGATGATACAACCTTGCTTGCTGAAAGTGAAGAGGACTTAAAACATGTACTGATGAAGATCAAAGAGCACAGCCTTTAGTATGGATTACATCTCAATGTCAAGAAAACAAAAATCCTTACCCCTGGACCAATCAACATCATTCATATGAACGGAGAAAAGATTGAAGTTGTCAAGGACTTCATTCTTCTTGGATCAACTATCAACACTCACGGAAGCAGCAGTCAAGAAATCAGACGACGTGTCGCATTAGGCAAATCTGCTGCACAAGACCTTTTTAAAGTGTTGAAGAGCAACAATTGTCAGCTTGAGGACGAAGATGCGCCTGACTCAAGCCATGGTATTTTCATATGTATGTGAAAGCTGGACAGTAACTAAGGAAGACCATAGAAGAATTGATGCCTTTGAGTTATGGTGTTGGAGGAGAATATTGCAAGTGCCATGGGCTGCCAAAAAGAACTAATAGATCCGTTTTGGAAGTGCAGTCAGAGTGCTCCATGGAGGCCAAGATGGTGAAAACTTCGTCTCTCATACTTCAGACATATTGTCAGGAGGGACCAGTCACTGGAGAAGGATATCATGTTTGGTAAGGTGGAGGGTGAGAGAAAAAGAGGAAGATCCCCCAGTGAGATGGATTGGCCAAGTGGCAGCATCGATGGACTCTCGAGTGTGGCAACATTAGTGAGGCTGGCCCAGGCTGGCAGTGCTTCGTTCCGCTGTGCATAAGGTCACTATGGGTCGGTACCAATTCCATGGTACTTAACAACAAAACATACATACATATACACTTGGTTTTATAGTTGCACTTTTTTTATTAACTTTAAAAATTCTTTAATTTCCCATTTAAAACCACTTCTGGATATTCTATTCTGAATATAATAAACTCTTCAGATTTTCTCCGTAAATCAGATGTAAAAGTTTAAATGGGACAGTATTTACTAGTAGTATATAAGGTATGACCACGTACTGTGACTAGACTTGTGCTAAAGGAAATGTATACCAGGTCTAAATTAAGCTTAGCTCAACAAGGAGTCTTTGAAGAATCAAGGTCTGATAGATTTTCTTTTTCCTTCTAGCTTCTTTTGCCTCTAGGTTGTGCTTAGCTACCTATTTCTTAGATCCAATGTCAATCTCTCTTGATTTCTTCTCTTGTGCAGCTGTACTGCAAACCCATCTACTCCAACAGGGTTCACTGAGTCCAAATTATCTGTCATCTCCTTGCCCAAAGTTCAGTAGCCTCTATGCCCTCAGTTGCATCCACTTTTGTACTTCGGAACATTCAGTAGCCAGGGTAATTCTGTTTTTCACTGTTAACTTTTTGGAGGTAAAACACACACGCAGAAAAACCCAGAATATAAGTGTGTATGTTGCTGTTGTTGTTCAGTGCCATTGAGTTGATTCCGACCCATAGCGACCCTGTATAGGGTTTCCAAGGAGCAGCTGGTGAGCTTGAACTGCCGAACTTGCAGTTTAAACGACTTTGCAGTCTAGCTCATTAACCCACAGCGCCACACTAAGACTCGTAAGTGTATTTAGACGAATACATTTTCATATACTTGAACACAAGTCAGATTGAAAATTAACAGTACCAGGACTCCAGCAGCTCCCTTCAAGCACCAACTCTCCAAAGCCAGTGATTCCCATTGCATACATTTGTCTTGTCTGGTTTGTACCTTGTTGTGTGGTCTCCGAATCACTATCTACTCTCACTCATTACTACATTTCTGAAGTGTATATATGTTGTTTCATGTAGCTGTGCATCATTCAGTCGGGTTGCTGCATATTGTATGGGTGCACCGTAATTTATCCATTCTACTGAATAGTGTTGTTGTTAAGTACCATGGAGTCAGTTCCAACTCATAGGGACCCTGCACACAGGGTTTCCGAGGATGTAAATCTTTACGGGAGTAGAAAGCCTCATCTTTCTCCCGCAGAACTGCTAGTAGTTTCAAACTGCCGACCTTCAGGCTAGCAGCCTACGCTACTAGAGCTCCATGCTGAATAGTGTAGTGGTTACAAATCGGGCTACAAACCATAAGGTCAGCAGTTTGAAACTATCAGCTGCTCCACGAGAGAAAGATGAGGCTTTCTGATCTGGTAAAGATTTACAGCCTCAGAAACCCTGTTCAGGGTCGCGATGGGTCAGAACCGACTCGACGGCACTTAACAACTGCTGAATATGTGAATAGTTTCCAGGTTAGAGCTATTACAACCAGTGTTGCACTGCCTTTGGCTATCATGTATGCATATCAGTCAGGAACATCCAAATTCTACCTCCACAAATGAGTTCTAGTTGCTCCACATCGTAAATATTTCTCATTTTCATCCTTTTCATTTTAGCCATTCTAGTGGACGTGAAATTTTCCTGAAAAACAGTAAACGTGGCCTTCTCAAGCCTCTTCCTAATGACATTGTTGTTAGGTTCCATCGAGTCGGTACCGACTCATAGTGACCTTATATGCACAGCAGAATGAAACACTGCCGGATCCTGGGCCAACCTCACTACTGTTGCCACACTTGAGTCCATCGATGCTGCCACTTGGCCAATCCATCTCGTTGGGGGTCTTCTTCTTTTTCTCTGACCCTCCACCTTACCAAACATGGTATCCTTCTTCAGCGACTGGTCCCTCCTGACAATATGTCCGAAGCATGAGAGACAAAGTTTGGCCATCCTGGCCTCCAAGGAGCACTCTGGCTGCACTTCTTACAAAACAGATGTATTGGTTCTTTTGGCAGCCCATGGCACTTTCTGTCCTCCAACACCATAACTCAAAAGCATGAATTCTTCTACAGTCTTCCTTATTCACTGTCCAGCTTTTGCATGCACATGAGGTTATTGAAAATACCATAGCTTGGGTCAGGCGTACCTTAGTCCTCAATGCCCTTATCTCCTAATGACCTTGTTGTTAAGTGCTATCGATTCAATTCCAACCCATAGTAACCCTGTATAGGGTTTCCAAGGAGCAGCTGGTGAACTTGAACCGCCGACCTTGCACTTCAAACGGCTTTGCAGTCTGGCGCATTAACCCACAGCGCCTTATGCACGGGACTCTTAATGACCTTAGGAAGGTAAAATTCCTCCACGTGGCCAATGCAACTCTGTGTGACCTGGCCCTTCTGTTCCAACTCCATCTACATGAGGATGCTGCTCCTCACTTCCAACCCCCGATACTGACCTTTCTTCCTATACCCTTGATACTAGCCATTCATTCTCTCAACAAAGAGCCTTGCTGCAACAGATTATTAGCTGTTTTCTAATCATGTCCTCAGATCAAATCCACTGTAATAAAAATATAAGCTCTCTAATATAAGCTCTCATAGCTTCGGTTTTATGGTTTAACATCATTTATCTTTAAAAGGCCTTCAGCTCCCAGTACAGAAAGTCTGTTTTCACTTACCCATTGCACATGCCAAACCTGTCAAGAGTTAGAATTCATGTATTTGAAAGACAAATAATTGAGACACAGATGACTGAGAACTGGATGTCGAATGCTTTTTTTTTTTGCTGTTGGAATTGTATGACATGGAAAACTTAGAAGAGTCCTATAAAAAATGTCACTTGGCAATACAGTGGAAGCTGGGAGAGCTGGAGCACCACAGGAACGCTTGTTTTCCAGTTCTCCCAAGTCTGCCCACTTCTAGAGGGTGGAGTGTATTACCACTTCTCTCTCACTCAGCGAAACTGATTTCCCTCTTCTGACAGGTGCTCACTTTACATGGATTCTGGATTTCCTAGGTTTTACTGTATACTATTGAGCTTATTTTCTGCAATCTTTACAACATTTATACCCTAGAGAAACCATTAATGCCAAATCACTAAGGTTTGGCTCTAAATAGAGAAATGGACTATAAAATTGCACTCACGGGGAAAACTGAAATTTTGACTTCCATCTTTACAGAGTCAGAAAGGTAAGAGAAACTACTGCCCAGTGGCCCCACTGCTAAAGCACCTGAGGCTGTGTTTAAGTTGCTTGCCCAGTGTCCAGCTTGTGTGATGACATCTCACCTTGCGTTTCCTGGGCCTTAGATCTGGGAGAAGAATTTGGGAACACCTGCTCTTTCTGTTCCAGAGCCTGTCTCACTGTGAGCTCATCACTGATGACGGCATCCTGCACCTGAGCAACAGCACGTGTGGTCACGAGAGGCTGCGCGTGCTGGAACTGGACAACTGCCTTCTCATCACCGACGCAGCCCTCGAGCATCTGGAGCACTGCCGTGGCCTGGAGCGCCTGGAGCTCTACGACTGCCAGCAGGTCACTCGGGCCGGCATCAAGAGGATGCGGGTAGGTGGGGACGGGAGTCGGTCACACACGGCACACTTGATGACACATACATACTCAACCAATAGGTACACAAATGGAAGTCACCCTAGACTTCAACATTCCCTTGATTGGACCCTGTCCTGGAAGTTTCAGCTTTAGCATGCCTGAGGTGAAAGTTCTATGTAGTCTGGTGATTGGAACCCTTATGAGAAGGCCTATGTTAAAAGTAGGTGACTGGAGGTCATTACCAGTAGAAAGTAGAACGTGGTCTTGGATAATTTCCAGGTTAAGAAGGCTCAACAGATTTTGCTTTTCTTTCCTCACCTACATTTTCTTTAAATCCAGACCACTTTGCATTTATACCCCAAAGCAGCTTCACCCAGGGTGCTACAGCTGTTTAGCAGATTGCACACAGCCAATGATGACGTGTGGACAGAAATGTATTCTTTTCTAGGATTATGACCATAATCCTCAAAACACCACAAAGTATGAGGACTGTTGCACATTTTCCTACTTTCTACTTCCAGGCTCAGCTCCCTCATGTCAAAGTACATGCCTACTTCGCTCCTGTCACCCCACCAACGGCAGTGGGGGGAAGTGGACAGCGACTGTGCAGATGCTGTGTTGTTCTCTGACAGCCCCTGCCCCCTTCCTCCAGAGAAGACCTGAGTCTTCCTGACGTTCTCCGCCACTCCCCAACTCTGTTGATCCTCCATTGGGAAAGGCTTGTTACATGTGAAAGACTTCCGTATGGATTGCAGTTCCTCTGGTGATACTTTCTCACCTTTATCCTGCTGTGACAGTCCACTTAAAGCCTTGTGTCAGTGAACACATGGCAGGAACACTTTCCGTGCAGCCAGGACCATGGGAGAAGCCTTGGAGCGCCTGACTCCTAAGAGGTGGGTGCCTGTCTAGGTACAGTCAGACCCTTGGCTCCATCAGCATTCCTCAAAACAGACCATCAGTGTTAGCACAAATTGAGCAGAAAAAATAAGTCCGTGACTTGCTTTAATTTACGATTCCACTAATTAGCAGAATGTTTCCACTTTGAAGGCTAAGTAGCAACTTTTATCAAAATGAGCATATTGCAGATTGTCTTGTTTTTATATGTAGAGGCTTAAGTGGAAGGTATGCTCATTGGTTTCCATGAGACACCGAAGAAATGAGGACTCCAAACAGAGTGGAGCAGGGTCTTCACTCTTCTGTTTCTGTCAGCTTTTCAAAGATACTTCTGGGGACCAAAACCAAAAAGGACACAAAAGCGATGCAGAATGTGTGCTGCCTGGTTGGAAATGGCACTGGCATATGCTGCAGCACATCTCTGTTAAAGGAAAGAGGCTCTTTCAGACGTTGAGGGACCTTAAAGAAAGAGAATTGATTAAGACTTAAGTTCACTGACATATCAATGAAAAAGAATGGATGCATGTAGAATGGGTGTGATTTTGTTTTCAAGTTTATTTTAAAATCTTAGAAATCAAGTTACACCAGAACTATTCAAAAAATTTTACACTTCAAACTCAGATCAGTAAAGTGTTGGCACCTTTTACTTATAGAAAAATGAATAAACCATTGCAATGTTAAAATCAATTTTTAACGGAGAGGGTTTTATTGCTATATTCTTATGATAGACAAATCTGAGCAAAAGCATTTTTGAAATTCAAATCTTCCTAATGTTATCTAAAATCTGATTCTCTGTTTGCTGTGGCTGATTCCTGCTCTGTGCTGTGCACATTTGTGATCTTTATTAAACATGACTCATCACTGCCTTTGTTGTGAACGTATGTGTTAACTGTAGCTGACCTTGCAACCACCTCAGAAGCGAAGACTCAGGATGTGTCATTGGAATTGGAAAGAAAACTACGAAAACCGGTAAATTTTTCCCACGACTAGCAACAGCTCCATTAGATTCGCTTTTAGAAGAAGCATTTTCAGGGTACTCTACTACTTCAGTCGTATTCCAGGAAAAGGCACACATGTATCCAGCCCCATAAAAATCAACTGAGCAGGAAAATCAGAATGCACAGTCAAGTTGTCATGACCAAGGCCTTCTGATCTACTCCAGTATTCTCTGTAGACCAGTGCTTTGTATTGTATGCGCCACAGCAGGTTTATACCGCTCTGGGAGGAAAAAACAACTGATGCATGAAGCCACTTAACTGAACAAATACATAACATCATGATTATGAATTAGTCTTAACATTAAAAATCAATTAAATGACCAGAGCCTTCTTTATCTTTTTAGAGGCTAAGTACAAAACTTTAAGTGTTACAGCTTCTGGGCTCGATGCTCAGTGACCCCATGGCCTCATGTACAAGAATGCAGATCTATTTGTAAGAAACTATGTTGGCTTCCTATGTGAATGTCTGACAGTTCCTGGCATATTATCAATTTTGAAGGAACTAAAAAGGAAAACTACACACAGACCTGACCTCTTCTTACAGCATTTGGATTGGTATTCACTCACAACCCACTTGTATACTGAACCAGACCCTCAATTCTATGGTTTGCACAGGACTTGCAATGCCAGTGTAGTAGACATGGCAGAAACTGAGATTTTTAAATGAGACACACGTTTGCAAAAACAATTGGAAAACATTTATTATACTGACATGTGTACATCCTGCTGGTTAAAAAAATTTTTTTTTGCTGGTGCCATAATTTAATCTGTTTCACTGGGACAGACTAATTAAATGTTCAATACTGCTCAGTATCATTTTGGATTAGATGAGCTTTATTTTTAACTCCACTTCTAAAACTTGATGAGGAATTCAAAGTAGCACACAGCATTAAATGGCATTTGTTCCATAAATCTCGAGACCCAGAAAGGAATGCTAAATAGACAAGCAAAACTCTAAAAAGAAAGAAGTTCATTTCTTCCCCGTGTGATTGGTACAGAAAGCATGTGTCCATACAAAACAGAAGGAAAATGAGGGAAAGCAAAGCTCTCCTTCAGCAGGGTCTATAAGGAGTTACAAATATTTCCGAACCAAAGATGGAAAGTATGTTGAGACAGGGCTTCTTTGTATTAAATAATTAACCTGCTTCATGAATTAATCATGAAGTGTATTTTAATGTATTTGTCTTCTGGGAGGGATTTCAAACTCAGAGTTACTCGTTCCTTTTTTCCTCTGAACAAAGATGAAGATCAAATTATACTTTAAAAGCCATAACACTGGGGCAAATGGACAGAGATACACTATAATTGAAACAGAAGAGGGGGCTTCAGAAAGTTCATGGGCAAGTGAAAGATAATGGAATTTTCCCATGAACTTTCAGAAGTACCCTTGTAATACTTTCTTGAAAATTGGGTGTGCTACACCACAGACTTCAAAAATGCTTGTTGAAAACAGTAGATTCCCTTAGAAAAGTATATTGGCAGACAAGAATTAATGTTTTGTGAAAGAGGCACTATTTTTAATAGAAAAAGCTATTATGTGGTGTATAAAAAGCCCCTAATTAACCAGACTCTTTATCCATGATTGTACTAAAGCTCAAGCAAGGGATTGTTATGGTACATTTTAGTGTTTATGATGTCTAGTGTTCCACAAACAATTTCATCTTCTTGCTAACAAAGCCTCCTTCACACCAAGTCAGAAGCTGTCAACAATAATACTCTTCTCCCCTGCTAGGATCACCTATTTCCAATGTCTGGGATAGGGCTTTTAAAAAGTTTAAAATGAGAAGTAGAAAGTGGGGATACCCACCTGAGTTTTAAAGGCAATGGGGCTTAAAAAATGAAAACCCAGAAACTAAAACGCTAAAAATGGAAGCAGAAGCGAAAACTTTTTCAATAAAACTGACAAGCAAAACACAAAAGTCTTTGTACCTATTAGGATTTACACGGATCCTCTCACCAAGGTACTCCTGATAATACAGTCTGCTTCAAGCCTATCTTTCTGGCTTGATCTTCCCCGATCTGGTATGATCCCCTCAGATGCACACCCTTAGACATGATTTACTCCAAGAAGGTGCAGAGCCTTGTTCCCCTGGCCACTGGTTGGTTCTTAGCACAACACATCTCTCCTCCAAGACAGATTCCTTCCTGGCTCCACACCGCACAGCCCCCAACACCCACCCCCATTCAGGTCAGCATAAGGTCCAGGCAATCAAAGCCAAACTGGCACAGAGAGGTAAATGCCCAAAATAAGTTTTTACATTCATTTCCAAACTGCATACAGTGTAAAAAGAAGCAAAGGTTGCTTCTAGGAACTTTTATCTACTGGCCTCTGCCAGAGAAGCTCTGTCCACACCGGGGCTTCCAAGCTGCACACACATTGTCCCAACGGGCTTACCCTCAAAAGGACGCATGGCAGTGACAGTGAGGAGAGTCACCTCATCCAGCTCATTCGAAGGTCATCTTGTGTTTTCAATATGAAACATTTTATATGGTAAAATCCAATCCCAAGACTTCTTGGATTAGTCTTCACACACTTTAAAGCGTGACTATTTGGTACTGAATATAGTTCAATCTACATAGGACATCATTTTAAAATTATGTAGACACCACCACCATTTTCAGCTGTAGAAAAAGGAAAGAGCAGTTTAAACACATTTCCTTCAGCATTTAGGAAACTTAAAACAAATTGGATACTCCCTGAAATCTCCAACCTCTTTCCAATTCAGAGGTTGGCTTTTAAATATCCTACAGCAAAGGGCCTGGGTAATTTTCTCCAGACGCAATGTCATGCACATTCCTATTTTAGAACTGTTGCTTTCTGTTGTCTGGTCTCTAACTCCTATGAGTGCCCCTGGTCCCATGCTGTTTGCCAGTTCTGAGGGTTGGGAGCTACGAGACAAACGGCAATCACACTGTCAGCATGAGGGGAACAAGAGCTGGAGACCAAGCTGATGGCCATAACACATCAGAACAGCAGACCATCAACTCCACAAAGTATGTGAATGCTTGCGGCTGTTTTTTCTGGAAAGTTTTTGGAATTCCTCAGAGGTAGATCCCAAGCATTTATAATACATTACTACATTTGACTGGTGGCTTAAAACGTGTTGCTCAGTATATGGTTAAAACTTTTTTTTTTTTTAAAGCAGTGAACATTCTCAGGAGGACAATCTGAAAAATGGTCACCTGAGATATGAGGGAGAGGCCTATGTCCAACAGCTTCACAAAACACCCACATCAGAGTAAAAGTCCTTCCTTGTACTATTTGAATTTGGCAGAGTAAAAAACTGAGAAACAAAAGATTGAACAAAAGGGTTCTAAGCTAAAAATATTTTCAAAGAAAGTAAAGTGAACCAACCAGTTCACAATTAAAACAGCCTTATGGGTAACTTGATGACATGTGCTATATATCAGACACAAAGTGAATCATAATTTCAACTCTGTTTTTGGCTACTGCTAGGAAATTTCCTAGTAAGAATGGATTTGGATCTCGACTTCTATGGAATATGATCTGATCCTAAGTAACAATTACACACTTAAAAATCCCTCTTCTAACTCTATAACATTGGAACCCATCCAAGCCCCACTCTAAGCCCTCTTCATTTAAGGTCTGTAAATGACCATAACCATTTATTCTGAGTAACCACTGATACCTTGAAGACTTGCAAATTTTATTAACTTCAGGCCTCTCCTCTGAGCTACAGATAACTGCCTACTTGACATTTCTGCATATCCAAAACAGAGCTGACTGCTTTTCCTTAACCTAATCTAGACCTCAATAGAACTAGACTGCCTTTTACCCAGCTGTTATCACTGGAAAGCAGAGTCAACAGTCTCCAGATCTATGGGCCACCATCACCTCTTGTTAGGATGACATACCTCCTACCTTCAGTCAACTTTATTCTCATGTCTCCGCAGAGTAGACATAATGAATAAACAAAAATCTGACTGTGTTACTCCTGTTCCAACAACTCCATTGGCTTGTCAACACATGCTAAGCAAAATCCAAAACAGTTACCATCAGCAGCTGCATGTAAACAGACCCTGCCTCCTCCTTTGGCCGACCATGGTGGCTACACTGGCTGTCTTTCCATGTGCAAAGTCATGGCTGCCCTGGAAGCATTCATGACAGCTCCATATCCCCCCATCTGTCCCCTCAGAACATTGAAAATATTTCTAATTACATGTACCTATTAGCCAATGTGGGCTTGACTCTTCCCACTAGAGTAGGAATTCCATGAACAGAGGAACTCTATGCCTATCTTATTCAAGACCTAAACAGTCCTGAAAGCATGGTGTCTGAAACAAGGTGTTGAGTAAAAATGTTGGCATCAACTGAGTTTTCTTCCAGCCATCTAGTACTGCCTGTTCATCTTTATGGGGTATTAATTCTATCACAATCACTAGATATATTTTTCTGACTCTCAACCTAACATTTTCAAAAGTAAACACACAAGAGGGTTGCTGATTATAAGCACACATTGTATTATATATTCCAGTAACATGATTCATGCAAAGTACCTTTAACTGTGGAGAATAAAAAACAACTCTCGTCTTGAAAGTTCTGAACCATCTAAAAAGATAAAACAGATGTGTAAGTATAATTAAAATTCAGCTGCCTTAATTGACTAGGAAAAATATTAGTACAGGACAATGGTCTAATTTATATATTGTTCTTGCACAAACTTAGGCATTACCTGCTAAAATGCTAACTTGAGAGAGCATGAGTTAGTAGTAAAGCACATGCCCACTGTACTGGCCTGTGTAAACAATTCCTGGTTTAGCAAGGGTTAACAATCCATCACATCCCCAATAGAGGCTGTGAACTCTATCTTACATAGTTACTTCATAACGTGCTCTTCTATTATTACTTGTTGTACTGTGGTGGCTTGTGAGGTACTATGATTCTGGAAGCTTTGCCACAGGTATTTTAAAAACCAACAGGGTCACCCATGGTGGACAGGTTTCAGATGAGCATCCAGATAAAGACAAACTAGGAAGGAGTGACAAACTACTTCCAAATATTTAGTCACTGAAAACAGAGAAATACTGTCAGATATAGTGCCGGAAAATGAGCCCCTCAGTTTGGAAGGCACTCGAAATGCAACTGGGGAAGAGCTGCCTCCTCAAAGTAGAGTTGACTATGATGATGCGAATGGAGTAAAACGCATGGGAGAATGCCCGCGAGACTTTCACTTGCTGTTGGGACACAACTCAAAATGAAGAGAAACAGTTGTAAACATCCACTGAAAATCGGAACTTGGAATATATGAGGTATGAATCTGGGAAAATTGGAAGTTGTCAAAAATGGAATGCATAAACATCAATATCTTAGGCATTAGTGAGCTGAAATGAACTGGTGTTGGCCATTTTGAATCTGACAACCACATGGTAAACAAATTGAAGAGGAACAGTGTTGTATTCACTGTCAAAAAGAACATATCCAGATCAGTCATAAGGTTCAATGCTGTCTGTAACAGAATAATATCCATGCACCTACAGGGAAGACCAGTTAATACCACTATTAGTCAGATTTAGGCACCAACCATTAAAGCCAGTAAGGATGAAATAAAAGAAGTCTACTAACTTCTTCAATCTGAAGTTGATCAAACATGCAATCAAGATGTATTGATCATTACTGGTGATTGGAATGCAAAGGTTGGGAACAAAGAGGAAGTATAGTAGTTGGAAAATATAGCCTTGGTGCTAGAAATGATTCTATCGTATGATAGAATTCTGCAAAATCAATGATTTGTTCATTTCAAATACCTTTTTGAGGCAGCATAAGAGACGATTATATACATGGACCTTGGCAGATGGAATACACAGAAACCAAACTGATTACACCTGCGGACAGAGACAATGGAAAAGCTCCTTATCATCAGTCAAAACAAGGCCAGGGGCAGATTGTGGAACAGACCATCAATTGCTCACATGCAAATTCAAACTGAAGCTGAAGAAAATGAAAACAAGTCCATGAGAGCCAAAATATAATCTTGAATTATATCCCTCCTGAATTTAAAGATCATCTGAAGAACTGATTTGATACATTAAACACTAAAGACCGAAGACCAGAAGAGTTGTGGGATGACATCAAGAACATTACACAGGAAGAAAGTAAAAAGTTATTAAGAAAAAAAAAAAGTCATTAGGAAGATAAGAAAGAGGGAAAAGATCAAAATGGATGTCAGAAGAGACACTGAAACTTGCTCTCCAGCATAGAAATGCTAAAGCAAATGGAAGAAATGAGAGGTACAAGAGCTGAACAGAAAATTTCAAAGGTCAGCTCAAGAAGACAAAGTCAAGTGTTAACAATGAAATGTGCAATGGTCTGAAGTCAGACAACCAAAAAGGAAGAACACGCTCAGCATTTCTCAAGCTGGGGGAACTAAAGAAAAAAATTTAAGCCTCGACTTCTGTTATTAAAGGATTCTCTGGGCAAATTATTGAATGATGCAGAAAGCATCAAAGAAGATGGAAGGAATACAGAGTCACTGTACCAAAAGGAAATGGATGATATTCAACCATTTCAAGAGATAGCCAATGATACTGAAGGAAGACGTCCAAGGTGCATTGAAGGAATTGGCAAAGAAAAAGGCTCCAGAAATTTATGGAAAATTGAAATCTTACAAGAAAGTGAGGTGGCACAGGAGGCACTCACTCATCTATGCCAAGAAATTTGGAAGACAATCTGGCTGATTGATTGGAAAAGATTTGTATTTGTGCCCATTCCAAAGAGAGGTGACCCAACGGAATGTGGAAATCATCAGACAATATCGTTGAAATCCCATGCAAGCAAATTTTTACTAAAGGTAGACAGAAATGGCTGCAGGCATACATTGACATGGAACTTCCAGAGGTTCAAGCCGGATTCAGATGAGGACGTGGAATGAGGGTTACCATTGCTGATGTCCGATGGATCTTGGCTGAAAGCAGAGAATACCAGTAAGATGTTTACCTGTGTTTTATTGAGTACGCAAAGGCTTTCAATTGTGTGGACCATGACAACCTATGGACAACATTGCAAAGTATGAGTATTCCAGAACATTTAATTGAGCTCATGAGGAAACTGTACATGGACCAGGAGACAGTTGTTTGAACAGAACATGGAAACACTGAATGGTTTAAAATTAAAAAAGGTGTGCAACAGGGTTGTATTCTTTCACCATACTTATTCAACCTGTATGCTGAGCAAATAATACAAGAAGCTGGGTTATATGAAGAAAAACATGGCATCAGGAATGGAGGAAGACTCATTAACAACCTGCGATATGCAGATGATACAACCTTGCTTGCTGAAAGGAAGAGGACTTAAAATACTTATTGATAAAGAACACAGCCTTTGGTATGGATTACATCTCAATGTAAAGAAAACAAAAATCCTCACCCCTGGACCAATTAACAACATTCTTATGAACAGAGAAAAGATTGACATTGACAAGGACTTCATTCTTCTTGGATCAACTATCAACACTCACAGAAGCAGCAGTCAAGAAATCAGATGACATATTGCATTAGGCAAATCTGCTACACAAGACCTTTTTAAAGGGCTGAAGAGCAGAGATGTCAGCTTGAGGACTAAGGTGTGCCTGATCCAAACTATGGTATTTTCAGTAACCTCATATGCATACAAAAGCTGGACAGTGAATAAGGAAGACCGTAGAAGAATTGATGCATTTGAGTGATGGTATTGCAGAATATTGAAAGTGCCATGGTTGTCAAAAGAACCAACAGATCTGTGTTGGAAGAAGTGCAGTCAAGAGTGTTCCTGGGAAGCCAGGATGGCCAAACTTCATCTTTCATACTCTCATACTTCCTGACATATTGTCAGGAGGGACCAGTATCTGGGGAAGGATATAATGTTTGGTAAAGTGGAGGGTCAGAGAAGAAGAGGAGGACCCCCAGCAGCTCAAGCGTGGCTACAATTGTGAGGTTGGCCCAGGACCGGGCAGTGTTCACTCTGAGTCGGTACCGACTTGATGGCACGTAACAACAACAATTATTACTTGTATTAACCATTTGAGGGGGAAATTTGTACTTCTAAAATCTTTAATCATAAATCAGTTAATATAAGGAGAGCACATCTCACTGCCTCTGGTTATGTCAAGAATAGAATCCCTCAATGAATGTCTGAATTAAAATGGGTTGTATTACTCCTCACTATAATGCTTGAAACTCTTAGTTATAAATTCTTTAAAACATTGATCCTTAATGCTTTGGAAAGTATGAAATTTTTCTATCGTCCTATATATTATTTATAGTATTTATCAGTATAAATACTAGGGAAGAACAGATGGACATTCTATTTACCTGATCACTGACAAGAATGTGAATACCAGTGGGACCCTGTCTGTAAACATGATTAATTTGGTGCAAAGGAATATTAAACACCAACGCAAGTTTTCGAGCAACTTCTGAGGCCACCATTTCTTCCAAGTAGATTGCATGATAAACTGAAAAAAATAAGAACAGCATTTTAACACCAATCTTGGATTTACAGCAATCTTTAACTTTTCTGGTAGTAAACATAGAATTTCATGTATTCAAGGTTCAAACTCAGGCAGGGGCAGACTGTAAAACTGGCCTGGAGGTCTTATAGAGATGATTAGAACTAAAATTAGACTGTGAAAGTGACCACCAAAACTCTGACAGGACTTTAAGTATATATGTTATACTGGAATTAAGTTATTTTAAAAAATGTTATGTATTTCTAATAATATAAAAATAATATACAGCTGCTGAATCAGTAATCATATTACTGAGAATTCTTCCTTAGAATTATAAAGAAATCTGCACATCCCCCAAAATCAACAAAGAACATCAAAGGTTAAGACCAACTATTTTCATCTTGCTCTTAGAAATTCAATATATGAATGCTGAAGGAATTCAACGTATTTCTAATGGAAAAAAGCTCAAAACAGTGATGCATTCCTTATAGACTGTCAATAAAAATCAAAGCATAGGGTATTTTTCATGCCTCTGACTATTATTAGAGCATTGCCTTTCTGAGTCTATAACACTGCTTTTCCTGAAAAGTTCCAAGCACATTGCCCTCATTCTAGAAGAAGAGAGAGTATACTTTCTCTCTGTCCTGAGCACTAGAGTAGGCTATTATTAAGGAAAGGCCCAAGGATGAGTGGCTAGCCCCAACTCACATAACCCGAAGTGTAACTCCAATGATGCTAGATTCTCCCCACATGGGTCTCACAGTGCTGCCCGTCTTGGGAGACTTGTGGTAATCTTGTTGGTGACAAGTCCACACACTTAGTACAGTTAACAACATAGGCACACCTTTGCGCATACATGATATTTTAAGAATTTTCTTTTTCCCAGTAAGTAAAATGTAGAAGAAAACCCTCATGCCATTTTTGTGAAGTTGTCAGTGTCTGATAGTCTCATTTCAGCAAATCTGAGATTTAAAAAAAAAAAAAAAAAGCCAAAATCCCAAAACATTCAAGTCAGTCTTTTGCTAGTTCCTCTGTAGAAACATATATACAAGAGATGCAAAGTGTGGCTGAAATAAACGAGGAAGGTTGCAGCTCCCATTAGTCCCCTCTTTTCCTGAGGTCTTGGCCCTAGAGCTGCTACATCTCAGCCAGGAAGATACTCCTGTAGCAAACAGGAAAGTCATACGGACGGTGGCGTCTTTCAAAGCCCTGCTCGGGGCCTTTCTGTTTCTGCCTCACCATCTCAGAAGCAGAGTGAGAGGAAGTTGAGACTCCCTCAATACCCACCATAGGGTGTACAACTGCCATTCTCGCTGCCTCTGCCTGCAGCCTGCTGCTGCCCTGGCAGCGGTGAGGTGCTCAGCTGTTCCTGGCAGACATAGATGGTTAAGCGAGGCCTAACTGACCTGCAAGCAGAAGATACCATTCATGAGCCTAGAAGAAAAAGCCATCACATGGCAGGTACAACTGACTCGCTATGAGCACATTACAATGTTATTTCATTATATAAAGTAATACGGTAATAAAAACAACACACCTCATACCAACTATAATCTAATCTGATGATCCACACTCTAAACTATTGAGATGGTCTGTCAGATGCTGGTGGCTTTAAGTTTCAAAATTAAGTCAATAATTTAAAATTAAGATTTAATTTTAATGGCACTCTGACACCACAACTCAAGAAATAACAATCATAGTAAATAGAGCTGAAAAGCCAGCATAGTTTATAGTTCTATCATTTTAATTCACAAAAGTTAACATTTTTAATAACTGTTTAGTAGTCACGACCTTGAAAACCATAGATTCTGTATAGCTCACCTAAATGAGAAGTTTTGTTTTCTTGGCAACAAACCCAGTCGTCTTCAAGAAATCAGTACTGCCCATGTGCATTTCTACCAGTCTTACAGTCTACCTGTGACCTCATCAGTGCCTGCATCATATCTGGGCCTGCCCTGAAGGTGTACACAAAACAGTCTTCTTGTGAGCATATGGCTGCCGGCGCACACAGGCACACGCCAACCGAGCGTGGAAAGACATTCTGCCCAAATTCCCCACACAAAGAAGGTATAGTCTTAAAGCAAAATAATTCCTTTTAAACGTAACATTTTACCTTGACTTCAGTGAATTATAGAGCCGAATTCCATCAGCTGCACCACAAATTTGTACTAAATCCTCCTTTGTCAGTTTAAGTAAGTCGGCACCTAGAGAACAGCAAAAAGATTTTTCTCAAAGACATGAAAGAACAACTAACAGAACAGGCTGTTTTACTGGCTTCTGTATTCACACAGCTAGTTAAATCTCCTTTAAAACCATCTCAGGACTCCTGAGTACATACACATACATGGACAATACAGGAAGGTTCACCCATCCCTGTCCCATACCATCAATGAAAATGCTGCCTCTTCATGTCGTGTTATCAAGAAGACGCTTAGAGCAGAGACTGGCAATTCAAATCAACGGGTAGGGCCTCTAAATATGTCTGTTCCTAACCCAGGATTTCATTAGCTAACTAGATTCATGGTTAGCCTGTGGCTATGTAAATACACATGATTGTTGTTAAGTACTGTGGAGTCAGTTCCGACTCACAGTGACCCTCTGCAGGGTTTCCGAGGCTGTAATATCTTTAACAACACCACATCTTTCTCCTGCAGAACAGCTGGTAGTTTCAAACTGCTGACCTTGTGGTTCGCAGCCCTATTCGTAACCACTACACTACCAGAGCTCCTTAGGTAAAAGGGGACAAGTATGTCTGAAATGCTTGCCTCTGCTATCTGCCCAGCCTGGCATATCGCTTACTGTCCCTCCAAACAGAGTTTCTATAGCAGCACTTAGAGGACTGCTTGGTGCCTTTTAAAATTACACTCAAATGCTCCCTTAGTGGTGCTGTTGGATCAGCACTGGACTGCAAACCACAAGGTTGGCAGTTCAAATCCACCAGCTCCTCCTCGGGAACTCTATACTGTGTCATTATGAGACAGAATTGACTCAGCAGCACTTAACAACACAGCATATAATAATCGTATATTATCTGAGTATTCCCATACCATGGAACAGGAATCCACAATAAATTGGAACAAACTCTTGATACATACAAGTACTTAGAGATTGATGTCAAGAGCATTATGTTAAGTGAAAAAACTCTAAGCTCAGAACATTGCATAAGTGGCTTCAAAAAGTTCATGGAAAAATGACATTAAAAGATAATGGAATTATCTTTTTGAAGCCCTCTTATATTCTGATTCCATTTATATCACATTATATGTGACAAGATCATAGAGACAGAGGCAGGATTAGTGACTGCAAGGAGTTTGGATGGTGGGGTAAGGAGTATGGGTGCAATTATTATTAAAGGGTAACCAGAAGAAACATGTCAGATATGGGATAGTTTTGCATCTTAACTGTGGTGGTAGTTATATGAATCTATACATGGGATAAAATGACAAGGATGCACCTCGTACCTAGATCAGTTTTCTTGAGTTAATTTTATGTAATTATTTAAGATGTAACCCCACTGGGAAAAATGGAGTGATAGGTGTACAAGGCTTCTCTGTATTATCATTATAATTTCCTGCAAAATTATATTTCATATAATTAAAAGTTAATAAAATGAAAAGGAAAACTGCATGGAACTATTTACACATACACAAATGAGTACATATAAATCTGGTAAAATCTGGATTATGCCCATGCCAATTATTTTGACAAGGTACACAAGATATGCAAGTGAAACCGTGTGATGGCTACACGGGGATTCCCTGTACATTTTTTGTGTAACTTCTTGTCAATCTACAATTGTTGCAATGTAAAGTAAGTAAAAATGCAGACACAAATAAGCAAAGAACAACATACATACAAGCATACCTGAAAAATTGGAAAACAGTCTTGTGTAGGAAGAGAATCGGTTTTTGAGCAGCCATTGCTGTGTTTCCTGGGTTGTGGCTGAAGGCTGAAGTTGCTAATAACAACAAAAAGTCAACTTATATAGAAGAAATTTTCTGACTTTACTATGAAGAACATAACATGTAAACCAAACACAGAAATCTTCATAAGTCAAACACACCCAAGAAGAGCAAAAAATCTGACTGATTAAGGGACTCAATACTTGCACAAGATCCCAAGAAAAGGGCCTCTAAGAGCCTTAAAAATGCAGGAGGGCTGAGGACAGCTGGGCAATTTAGGAAAAAGATACTCACTTCCTCAACTAGAAAGAAGAGGGAAAAAAGAGTAATCTGATACAATTTGATGAACTTGACCTACACCTATGGATGAAGCAGCTCAAAAGAGGGAACAAATCTTTACATCAAGAATCATTCCACACAGAGTTGACAGGGATGGACAACTTGGACATTGGCTACCCAAAATGGGGGGCTACAAAGGCAATAGATGACTGGCTTACAAGCTTTCAAGAGGGAGCCTAGATCCATAGGACGTGGAGGAAGGTAGAATCTCCACTGAGATTCTGTCTAGGTGGGGCTGATGAAAGGAAATGCAGATGGGTCTCTTATAATACAGTAGTGAATAACTGTTATCAGGACTGATTGTGAGGGTTGGAAATGTAAAGGTACATGTTTTGTAGCAAGGAGGGGAGTGATTAACTTTGCAGTCTAGGAGCAGAGATCCCTGGGACCATCAAGGGAGAAGAGCGGAGAGCGGGGACCCTACCCAGAGAAGCAGTGATGCCGAGATGGAGGCAGAGATGATGACGTGGAGCGATGGAGCAGCTAGGGACTTTAGACTCAGAGAGGGAGAGGGAGAGAGACTGTGTGCTTATGACTTTGGGCGGGGGGGTGGGAGGGAGGCTTGATGATGCATGGAGGGGATTGTAACAATGGCAATGAAACAATATACGATAGGATGAATGTAAAACTAATGTTCTCTCATGTAAGCTATCACATAATTCACAATAAAACATTTAAAAAAAAGAAGAAGAAGATACTCACTTCACCAGAGGCCTGTGAAACTCCATCTCCCTGATGATTTGGGGAAGAAGAATTGCTGAGAGAAAAGAAAAAAAAGGATTATTTCTATAAATTTTTAAAAGTAAAGACTTTAAAACCTCATTACACTAGGTAGCGTAGTGGTTACGAATCGGGCTGTGAACCGCAAGGTCAGTAGTCGAAACTACCAGCTGTTCTGCAGGAGAAAGATGAGGCATTCTGCTCCTGTAAAGATTTACAGCCTCAGAAACCCTGTTCAGGGTCGCTATGGGACGGAACCAACTCGACAGCACTTAACAACAACAACAACAAAAACTAGGTAAAATTAATGTCAGAACAATACTGGTCGGGTGTGCAACTTAAGAAGTAGGTCCCACTAGTCAAGGTCAATATGATGCTGAGTGAAGCACTGAAGACTCGCTATCTAATTCATGCCTCCTCCTCCACTGATCTAGTAAATTCAAGTTTTGTAAAGCAGAGGGCTTTTCTAGAGGTGTCAGGGAAAAAGAAAGATACTGATTTTATTTGGAAAAAAAATATGAGAAATCAAACAACTGAAAATAGCTTTAAAAATATATATAATAATGAACTGGAGCTGTGGTGTGGCACTGCAGGGTAAGTACTGGGCTATAGGATGGTTTGAAGTGCAAGGTCATTGGTTTAGACTCAACAGCTGCTCCATGGAAACCCATACAGGTAAGCTATGACTCAGAAACAACTTGACAGCACTTCACAACAGCACAGTAATGAACTACAAGAAACAGTCTTAAGTCAAAATATACAAAAGGTATGCCTTTAACTAATACAAGGATCCCTGGTGGCACAGTAGGCTAAGCACTGTACTGTTAATTCAAAGGTTGGTGGTTCAAATCCACCCAGTACACATGGGAGAGAGCTGTGGCTGTCTGCTCCTGTAATGATTTACAGGCTCAGAAACCCTACAAGGAAGTTCTCTTTCCTAGAGGGTCACTAAGTGTCAGAATGAACTCAGAAGCATATGTCTGTTTGGATTTTGTTGTTTTTTTTAAACTGATGTATCTATCTGTGATTAAAGAAAGTGAACGTCAAAACAAAAGAAAATTAACTTGTACCACTTGTGTTTCTAAAGGGACACTGAAAATCAACTCCCCAGAGAAATGTGGCCACCTTCCTGACTACTGAACATTGATTCCTTTTTAAATACCTGCACCTCAATTATTTAGCTTTATGATATTGACTGTCACCCTCTCTTTACCCAATGTTGTTGTTTTTGTTAAGTGGCGCTGAGTCGGTTCCAACCCACAATGACCCTGTATAGGGTTTCTGAGGAGCAGCTGATGAGCTTAAACCACCGACCTTGAGATTCAAAACGACTTTGCAATCTAGGGAATTAACCCATAGCGTCGTCACACCAGTAATCCCCCATTAATACTGTTTTGACCTCACAAAGATTGTATGCTGGCTTTACCTTCAGAATGCCCCCTTTTCTACAATGATCATAATTGTGAATGTGTGAGACATATGGGGCTAGGAGGAAGAATAGACAATGATTTTCCTCTGAAGTTGACGTTCAGGTCATTTCCCATTACTATATAAAGTAGCTTCAAAAAGTCCATGGAAAAACCTTTTCCTTGTTTCCCATGAACTTTCTGAAGCCCTTTGTACATGTCTGCTGCTATACCCAAAGAGGTGGCTGTGAAATGACCGATAGGGCAGTCATGGTGCAAAAGCACTGACATATCTACTCTACACCACACATAGCAGATACCTGTCTGGGACACTGCAGGTGCTCTGCGGGGGGGAAGTGAAGGTGGAGGTGGCAGAGGGGCTGTTATTCACATAGGCTGTGGGCATATCAGGCCACGGAGAACACTAAGGGCAGAAACAAAAAGAAATTAATGATATGCTTTTAAAGTACATGAAAGAAATATTTTGTTATTCACGCTCTAGTCTGGCCAAATGCAAGATTATAAAATGCAAGATACTGGACACTCATCAAGCAATCTCACAGAAACATATCCAATTTACTTCTGTATGACAAAGATAAATTTTACCTGCTCTGTGTAGCTAGAACACGGATTAATCTTAGAGAAGACCTGAAGTGATAATAGCAGTAAAATATGTATAACGGAATTTTAAATGTATACTTTTGTACAATTTGCTTCCAATACTTTTAAACCTCAGTTCCTCAACAGATATCAGTGCTTAAGGATAGCAGCCAAAAAAGGACCCATAAGCAACACCTGAAAGGCAGATTCTGTCCTCCCTAGTGTTACTTGCCTTGCCAATTTGCCATCTTTCCCAAAGAGGAGTCTCACAACATCTGCTCCTAAGATTAGTAATCCCTAAGGAAGACCAGACAGGCCTGGCATCAAAATATGTCAACTGTGTAAGATACTGCCTGACAGTCTTCCTTTAGCTTTCCATCCTTTTTTGCTAGAAGGGACATGGTGAACTTTGTTTCAGCTCAAAGCAAAACTCTAAGCAGGTATAGAGCAAAATCACACTATTAGAAGAGCTGGAAGAGCTACAGTCAATAGCATCCTGAGCAGGCCAGAGTGGTCTTAGGGAGCAGTCTTTAAAAGGCCCTCAGTTCCCAGCATTCCCTTTCACAACCATCCTTCTGTTCTTTTACACAAGAAAGGCATCTCATCTCACATGGTGCTAGGGTATAAAACTGTCCCTAAAAGTTAAGTACAAAATGGCCCAAAAATACTAGACTAAATATTGAGAAAGCAGATAACCTTAATGACTGAAAAAATTTGTGAGTCAGATGGTTTTTAAGTTTTTTTTTTTTTTGCTTTCAGTGAAATTTAAGGTTAGATTTAATTGAACTGTCAGCTGGTGGTGGGAGTGGTGATGCGCTGTGGAGTTGAAATCAACTCATAGCGACCCTGTAAGGGATTTTCTGAGGCTGTAAATCTTTATGGGAGCAGAAAGCCTCATCTTTCTTCTGCAGAACAGCTGGTAGCTTGGAACTGCTGACCTTAAGGTTCACAGCCTGATTCATAACCACTATGCTAGAGTATATAAATAATCTACTAGATAATTTTAAAAAGTTGATCACTGGAATTTTGACACATAACTAAAAGAGCTCAAAAAACTTGCTGAAAAGAGGTTTTACCCATCTACTTATAAAAGCAAGTTTTATGTCATCTACTTAAAATTTAAAAATAAGGAATTTATGTTCTATTCTGTGTCATTCAAGATACAGTTCTAATATCAATTCAATTATGCTTAATAATTATTCATAATTCCTATGATTTTTGTTGTTTTGGTAAATTGGTACTAATAATGCTAACTTTTCTATTTCTCAACTGTGTTAAGAGTCATATGGACACAAATTTTAATAACTAGATCACAATTCATTTAAGGTGATTATGAAGCATTAGGGTAATCAATAAGACTTTCAGGCATAGAAATATGTCACATTAGGGTAAAATTTTTTGAGGGGAATGAAAATAGAAACGTGAGATCAAGAAAGAGCCGTGTAAAATTTCTGATTACTGAGGAAGTTTGAAGAGGCACTTTAAAAATGAATGGTTGTTGTTGTTGTTAAGTGCTGTCAAGTTGGTTATGACTCTTAGCAACCCTATATAGGGTTTCCAAGGAGCATTTGGTGAGTCTGAATCACCGACCTTGTGGTTCAAACCAACTTTGCAGTATAGCACATTAACCCTCAGCGCCACACCGGGACTCCAAAATGAATGGTGGTGGTGTCAAATTGCTACGGTACTTAAATTCCACAGGAGACATTTCAAAGAGTGATACACAATCGTTTTAACTGAAACTGTAAATACAAGTTTCAATGTGGCAGAAAATTGCCTCCTTTGCAACTATTTAATTTAAATTAATTAAATCTCAAAAAATTTACAAGTATATATTTTAAGAGTAGAACAGTAAAGACTGGTAAAACCAAGTATAAATGAGTTAACCACATGTATCTGACACCTACTAGAAGCACAAGAAAATAAAACTGCAAGATTGGAACCATAACATACTTTACAATTATCTGAGTATGTATCTCCTCAGAAATGGAGATACATAATAATTGCAGAATTATTATTTAAATTACTATCAGCTGACTGTAATGGGGGAGGGGGAGCCAATTTGGCAAAAATGCTTTGCCAAAATTATTGCCTACTATATCATGGTCATGATAAATGCCCCTCCCCACCCTTTAAAAAATGTTTTCTGTCATCTTACAAAGTAGCACTACAGTTTGAGGAACTCAAGACCCATTGAGCAAATTTAGTCACCTAACTCTGGTAGCGTAGTGGTTACGAATCGGGCTGCGAACCTTAAGGCCAGCAGTTCGAAACTACCCGCCGCTCCGCGGGAGAAAGATGAGGCGTTCTGCTCCCGTAAAGATTTACAGCCTCGGAAACCCTGTACAGGGTCGCTATGGGTCGGATCCGACTCGATGGCACTTAACAACAACAACAACATGGGTGTGATACAGGAGCTCTGGTAACTTACTGGTTAAAGCACTTGGTTGTTAGCTGAAAGATTGCAGTTTGAATCCACCTGCTGCTTCATGAAAAAAAAAAAAAAAAGATGTGGCAGAGTTGGCTTGTGAAGTTTACAGCTTTGGAAACCGTATGGGGCAGTCCTATGATGTTGTTACAAGTTGGATAGATAGCCTGCAAACCATCGAGGATGAACGAGTGTGGCACAGCCACAGCAGGGTTTACTAACAAGAAACCTTCTAAGCTACCCTACCTACATAATATAAAACATTACACGGTATGTATCGTAACACATTTTAATGATATGGTGGCTGTTGTTTAGTATTAAAGCTTTTAATAATAAAAATATCAAGTCTCCTCACATGTGCTTTGGTATTTATTTACCAAATGAGGAAACAAAGTCTTCAAATCAAAAAGCCCAATTTACTAAGATAGAGTAAGGCAGGGAAACCCAAGCTCACCGCAACTCCATAAACATGCTTATTTCACTTTTATATATTTAGCTAGCTTCCTTTATGAAAACAGTAGTGTTAATAGTGTGACAATAAAAGTTGCCCAATAAAGGAGACTTAATCTGTTGGACACTGGAAACCTAGTAGTGTGCTCAATGAAAACTGGCTGTACTGTAAGGCTTCTATTTTTAGAAATAATGGGATCTATGTTCTTTACGGAGTCTGGTGTAGCACTGTGGGTTAATGCACCAGACTGCAAAGCCGTCTGAACTGCAAGGTCGGTGGTTCAAGCTCACCAGTCACTCCTCGGTGACCCTATACAGGGTTGCTGTGGGTCGGAACCAACTCGACGGCACTTAACAACAACAACAGGTTCTTTACTGGTCAGGTTAAATGAAATGCGAAAATCTGTGTCCTATTTCATAGGTTTCCTTTGCAGTCTGAACTCAAGGGAAAAGGCATACCATACAATTTTCACAATGTCTCTGTAATCTTGTCATTCTTTCTTGTTTTTATACAAGTAGGCAATGGTATATTTGCCTTCTTCCTCTAAAAACAATATGTAATTCATGAAGGTTTTAGCAATCCCTGGCCTGGACTCCATTAGGCAAAGCTGACCTATCTTAGGCTGTAGCAGCAGTTGGCAGCCTGCTGAATCAATAAAACACAGCTCAGGGGCAGAGATCAACAGACACAGTCAGGGTTTTGTTGTGTGTCTTCTGCTGGGAGCCAACAGTAGTGACTCTAGTCAATGTGGGGCCATTTCACACAGGAGCTCTCGGACTTTCACAGAAAGCCTTTAAGTCTGGGTATTCCGTTTTACTGAAAGCCAATTGGAACCATCCAAAGAGTGCAAGAAAAGTTGTCTTTCCTTTGTAAGCAGCACTTGAAAGAATATAAATAGATAAAGTACTATGGGCTTTCTTTTATAAGGAATTAATTCAGACCCTACTTTTTTAAAAACAGGTTTCCAAGATGAACTGTAACTGCATCTTACAAGCATCTTAACCAAACCAAAGACATCGTGGGCAGCAAACAACAAACCAGGAAGATGTGAAATCCCAGGCCAGTGAACTGCTGAAGTTTTGCATATTTTAGATCTGAGCTAGGAATTATTGAAAACGCAAAACAACATTACCATTTTCAGGTTAGTATTGGGCTATCGCTGATTTATTTATGAATTATTAGAACATATATATATATTTTTAAATTGGTTAAATGGCTTATTAACAGTAGGGGGAAAGTGATGAGTTACTACAATCTCCCCCAAAAAGCTTATCAAACACCACCTGAGTGTCGTGTGGAAAAATCGGGAAGAGTAGAAGTATAAAATTGCGGAGAAGTATGTTTTGGAAAAGAAGTATACAGTTGTTCCTTGAACCTATGATTTGAATTGAAAGAGCCCAATAAAAGAAAACGTAACATGTGTGCTCCCTTTGGCACTCAGATGAACACATTCTCCATCTTAATGCACCAGCAGCAACTAAAATACTCTCATTCATTGCTTTTATTTGGGAAGGAGGTTCTTGTGATAGTGACTTTCCAAGTCTACAGGTAATCATGGAAATTTATATGCAAGTGAGAAATCTACTTTTTGCATCTTGATATGCAGACACTGCAATGATGAATAAATAGTGTTGCCACTAATATACACAGGATGACAGTTATTTTAAAAGTCCTTTAATGCTCTATGTTTATATTTACTGGGAGGATATAGTTGATCTAAAGTAATTAGCATCACTGGATAATCCTTTGTGGACTGTTAGCAGAAAAGAGTCATGCCAAGAAATAAAGATTTGCTGTTCTTATCTTAACAAAACTCACAGTCAACCAAAAGCCCTTGGACTGCACGTTGGGGACAGCCAGGTCTAAACTAAGTGTAGCATGGTGCCCTACTTTGGCTTAAAGCATGAAGTTACAGTGCAGATGCCAAGAGGAAACACTAAAGCAGCAGTCAATTTTCTCTACCAGTGCCCCCAAACAGGTTTTGAAAAGCGCACACACACACACATTCATAAGCAACATGCAGGGAAATGTGACACAAAGTATTATACATGTTAATGTCAAGCTTGCCGCCAACAATTCTCTAAGTAGGAATGGAATTTTTGTCAAGTATACACGAGAGAGAGAAAAAAAAGCAACACCTTTTTCAATTACACAAAAAAGCTAACTATCTTACTAAAGAAAGTTTTGCAATGAATTTCAGTGCTCTTGAAGAAGGGTGTGTGTGTGTGTGTGGAGGAGAGGGAGGGCGGGAGGGAAGGAGACAGGGAGAGAACACGTTATCTTTGAGTGTTGTTTTTTTCCCCCTCCAAAACCACCCAATATGGTCAACATTGTTTTTGCTTTGCTTTAAAGTGTTAGATTTAGGAAATTTTCCTCAGTGAGGAACAAACAGAAAGTAGTAAGTCTAAACAAAAGCAAATTAAATCAAGACAAGAACATCAAAAACAATTTTGGCTTTACTTTAAAGTGGAAGTTGGTCCTATATCTAACACTGCACAAGGTTTCTTGCACAATGAAAAGAGAAGCAGAAGTCCCTTACACTGCCTCGCTTTGCCAGAGAATCACCGTAGTCTGCTGGCAAAGTCCGCTTGCTGGACTTTTTCTGCTCATGTTCAACTGCATCTTCAATTATAGGCTCAAGCCTCATCTGGACAAACACCAAAGATTGGGATCAATGTCTTTTCATTATACAAAGAAAGATCTAATCCCCTGATTCACGTCTCTGCAGTCCAATCAAACAAATGTAAGACTAGCAGGAGTCAAAGGGAAAGAAACTGCAAAACCCCAGCAGTGACAAAATTCAGATATTCTACGTCCCAACTTAACTTCTTGCCAACTTCAAAGTTTTTAAGGTCTATTTCTGAGACCTGATTTGGGATTTCAACATCTTCATTTAAGATCCCACCCAGAAAACTAATCTATTAACCAACCCCCAAATTTGTATTACATACTTTCCCGCAAATTTCAGTAAGAGCACTATGTCAGTCTACCACCCAATCTTCCCCTAGCCCTTTGTAGCGACACTCATCCTTTGGGATGTTGCTAATATGCAAACCTCTGCTTCTCTTCTGAAACCAAAATGTGGCTTTATATTACCTCTGTGAGAATTGTGGTATCATAAGATGGCTGATACTTTTCTTTTTCATGGGCTGTTCTCTTCTCCATCTTCTCTCGGTCTGTTTTTTGTTTCCTGTCTGCTCCTTTCGGCTGAAAATAAAATAGATTATTTCATCAATTAGTTGAAGATAGCAAATAGATTCACAAGCAAAACAAGATCTTAATTACTTAAGCCTGGTTTCCATTTCTTACCTTAAACACTTTGATTTGGCAACTAGCTGAGTGTAGATGATCCGTGTAGTCCCCGTTTTCATTCTGCTTAAAGGTGTCCACCTGGATTCTAAAGGGCACTCCTTTTTCACCTCCATGCTTGCGTGGAGTAAATTCTGTGCTGATGCAGTGTACCTAAGAAACAATTCTTACTGAAATGGATTCAAAGAAGCTTCCATTGATTACCTTCTATTTTGTTCCCGCTCAGATGTACCACCCCCACTATAAATGTAAGAACTCCTAAATATTAGCCAAATATCTTTCATTAATTTCTCTGGATCGTTTTTAATGTTTGGGTTTCATTTAAAATCCTATGTGCAAATTCAACTTAGTTTTTCTGGACTCTGGGATGAATTCTATCCCATTCCAGGGTCTCTCCTCTTAATGCAAGACTTGTGCATATCACGAACAGAAGAATACAGTGACTTCCTACATACGTCTCCTGGCCCACCCAGGACTGCATGCTGCTTTCAGCCCCAAAAGTCCTAAATCCTTAATGTGTCAGTACCACCTTGTACTAGGGCCCAGTGGTCCATGAGTCAATCCAAAGTAAACCTACCTCCATGATTTCACAACTTCACTGTTCGCCAACACTGCTATTATCCTGCTCTAGCCATTCAATCATCTCACTATTCTTCCTATACACGCTAACTTGAGATGCTTTGCCTAGGAACTTTTCCTGTCCAGAAACCCCTCTGTGTTTATCTAATCTCTGCTGTTAGCCCCTCAACAGTCACTCAAAATCCTGGGTGCAAAACACATCTTCTACCACCCCACCCCTCCCCCTTCAGTACTACCAGACATAACAGCCTTAGTATAAAAAGCAGAGGGTACCAATTTCCCTGGAATCCTGAAGTGGTGCTATGGCGGTTAATGCACTGGACTGCAAAGTCAGTTTGAACCACAAGATTGGCGGTTCGAGCTCACCAGCTGCTCCTTGAAAACCCTATACAGGGTTATGTGAAAACCTTATCACATAATTCACAATAAAACATTAAAACAAAACAAAACAAAAATACTTTCTAGGGTTGCTATGGGTCGGAACCAACTTGATGGTACTTAACAACAACATACATTCCTTCTTCTTGTTAGCACCAATCTCTGCAATTGACTCTGTACAAGCTGAGAATGAAGACCAGGTCTTATATTGCTTTCATTCACTATATAACTACGAAAAAAATTCATTTCACTATACATTATGAAAAAAAACCTCAACTAAAATAAACCATGTCTGGTAATTATTACTTGATGGGGAATAAAATTTGATAGATCACAATAAAAAACGAAACCCTAGCCTACCTACCAAGCTGGTCAGCTATTCAAAGGTTTTCCTTTTCTACATAGTGGTTGCCTACTCAGTAGCATTAATACTACTACATGCAAATTTGAGCATATGGGGTATTAGAATTATTGTTTTGGTTTTGTTCTGAGGTATAATGTTATTATAGTTATATTTTTTAAAAGCTTACCTCCAAAAGACACAATTCAAGTATTTGTGGATAAACTGCTATATCTGAAATTTGCTTTTGAGTATTCAAAGACACCTTAAAAAAGGGCAAACTGCTGCCTGCCTCAACTGTTGAAGCCAGGTGACAGGTACAGGGTCCAATATTATTATTTCTTACCCCTTGCTAGGTTTGAAGAATTCAGTACTACAATGGTTCTTAAATAATGTTGTATTTTAACATCATAAATTTTTCAATCATATTCTCTCTAATGGCAGCTTCTGTTCACAAAAAATGTATCCCATAAGAAATGGAAATTTTTTATTATTATTACCAATGGTAAAAATATTTGAATAATGATATACAAATATTATTGTTAAGTGATGTCAAGTAGATTCCAAATCATAGTGATCTGAGGCTTTAAATCTTTGCTGGACCATAAAGTCTCATCTTTCTCCTGCAGAACAGGTGGTAGGCTTAAACTGCCAACCTGTGGTTTGCACTCCAGGGCTTAGCCTATGGAGCCACCCACTCCCCCGAATGTCTCCATATATTAGATTATAATTTATCACTGATTTAGTAGATTAAGTGCAATTTTACTGTGCATGTTTTTAATAGAAATTTCAAGATAGTTTACAAATAAATATTTAAAGGAAATTATACCAACTCACTTATTGATTAACTATTCCATTAACCAACATTTTACGCATTAACAACTAGCAGTAATGAACCACGAAGATGTGAGGCAAGAGTAACGCTGGCTGTGATGGTTAAGGTTATATGTTAATTTGGATGGACCATGACTCTCAGTGGTTTGGCAATTGTGTAATGATGTGTAATGTTGTAGTCAAACTCCATTTTGTGATCTGATGTGTTCATCTTCCATTTTTGCAAAATGGCCCAGCCTTTGGAACCAAACAAGTAAGGACTAGGTGTTTATTATTCATCAAGAATTCAGACCCGTCGCCTTCTAAATGAATAGATTATTGTTGTTGTCAAGTGCTGTTGAGCTGGTTCCTAATCATAGCAACCCTGTATAGGGTTTTCTCAGGCGTGGCTGGTGAGCTTGAACCACCAACGTTGAGGTTCAAACCAACCTTGCAGTTCAGTGCATCAACCCACAGTGCCACAGCAGGTTAGCATGCTATAATGTAGAAAGCCAAACCTGAATGAAAGCAGATGTGCGTTTTGCAGGGTCCCACAGAAATTCAACAGCATTTAACTGGCTTGGGTTTGTCCTTGTGTCAATTATTCCCACAGACATTGGGATATCTATATTAAAAAATAAAAATAAAAAAACACAATTTACATTACAAACTCATCTTCACTGAATAATTAAAACTTACAAATTAGTGTAATATCTTCGGATAAAATTATTAGCTTAAAAAATTATATTCCCGTTACCCTACACCATCAAGGAAGGAGAGCATAAGCGGAATGCGGGACCCTATCCAGAGAAGCAGCGACAACCAGAGATGGAGGCAGAGATGGGACATGGAGAGAGGAAGCAGCTGAGGACTCTAGATTCATGGGAAGAGGGCGACTGAGAGCTGGCATCCAGGTAGACTTGCACAATGTGCCCATTGGTGGTGTAAATTATTATACATGCCTGAGAATTTTTTTTTTTAAAGGAAGCTAAAGTGAATAGAGAGAACTACTGTTACCTGATAGTACATGGAGGGGATTATAATCATTGTATGAAACAAGATTTGTTGAATGTAAAACTGATGATCTGCCCTGTAAACATTCACTCAATTCACAATAAAAACTTAAAAGCAAAACAAAAACAAAAAAAACCCCCATTATTTCCATGTTAAACTTTTGCCTTTCAGGTTCCTCATGGCCAACTCATCTAATAGATACCAGTTTCTACTACTATGGTTTATATTTCATTTTCTTAAGCATATGATAGATGGTGCCAATCAAGATTTAAATTATTTCAAACTCATAAAATTCATAGCTCAAATACCTTTAGAGCACTAAAAAGCAATTTCACTTTAAACTATGAAACAACTCAAGTCACACAGAATCTGCTAATACCAAAACTCTCTTCACACAATTACATTTGGTGCCAGCATCGGCCCTCATTATTCCATGGTCTTTTGACATGTACCTAAGTCGAGAAGTTTGTCTCCTGGGCGGTTCCACTTCCAACCTTCAAGTTGCTGATGCTCTGTATATTGTAGCCGTCTGTCATGGAATACAACTCTTATGATGCTCTAAGAAACAGTGAGGAAAGTGTGATTACTTTTAAACTACTTTTCTAAAAATGCAGAAGGATTTTTTGCTTCTTATGTATTAATCTACAATAGAATGTTGTTGTTGTTGTTGTTATGTGCTGTGGCGTCGGTTCCGACTCATAGCGACCCTGTACAGGGTTTCCAAGACTGTAAGTCTTACAGAAAGCCTCATCTTTCTCCCGCAGAACAGCTGGTAATTTTGAACTCCTGACTCTGAGGTTAGCAGCCCGATTCGTAACCACTACGCTACCAGAGCTCCAGTTTTAAGTATTTCATAGGTGAATTTTTCTGAAGTTTCTGCTCTTGGATGAATAGATTACAGGTACAATTATTTGGTTCAAACATAAAAGGTGCAAATGAAATGGTTACACCTAAGAATAATTTTTACAAAAGAATCTGGTATTGTACTCCAAAAGTAAGGTCCATTTTCACAGCACTAGTGCAAGAATAATTATATTTCTAAGAAGGAAATGTCAAAAAGACACAGAAACTATTAAAATGAAAAAGCAATGAGTAGAGAGAGAGAGAAATCCAAGTTCAATGGTCAAATCAACTTTGTTAATTTAACAGAAAAGCTTAACAGTATTTGGGTTTCTTTTAAACAGTCATTCTAAAATGGTAAAACACTGGGGAAAATGGTTTGATGGTTCCTCAAAAAACAAAACAAAACTGGATTATCATGATTCAGGAATTCCATTCCTAGGTACATGAGGGTAAGTGAAAAAAACATTACTATAAAATCACAGAAAACTTTATTAAACAAAAATATCAAAATGTGAAGGATCCTCCATCTAGGTCTTTATACTTCTGTATAGCATATAAACATCTCTCTAATACTTCCCTAAAGAATTCTGCACTCTTCAATTTATGCCATGCCAAAATGACAGTTTTGCTATTCTAGAGGGATTAAAATACTGTTTATTTTTTAGTATTCTTTGAGTTTGAAACAAAAACAAAAAAGTCAGAAGAGTTGAGATCAGGAACGTAAGGGTGTAAGGTTTCCCAATGAAATCCTCCTAGAACAGTACTTGCTACCCTTCAACAAGGACCAGGTGCAGTGTCATCATGGGAAAAAACTCCTCAGAGAAACTGAAAGTCTTCCCTCTGTGAACAGGAACCAGACAAGGATGCCCTTTGTCACCACTCCTATTCAACATTGTGCTGGAAGTCTTAGCAAGAGCTATTCGGCATGACAGAAATTAAAGGCATCCAAATTGGCAAAGAGGAAGTTAAAACTCTATTTGCAGACAATATGATCCTATACATAGAAAACCCCAAAGACTCAGTAGAAAAGCTACTAGACCTCATAGGAAGATTCAGCAATGTGGCAGGATATAAGATCAACATACAAAAATCAGTTGGATTCCTCTATACCAAAAACAATAGCATTGAAAAGGACATTAGGAAAACAATACCATTTACAATAGCCACCCAAAGGAAGAAATATCTAGGAATAAATGTAACCAGAGAAACAAAGAACTTATACAAAGAAAACTACAAAATACTACTACAAGAAACCAAAAGAGACCTACAAAAATGGAAGAATGTACCATGCTCCTGGATAGGAAGACTTAACATTGTGAAAATGGCAATAGTGCCCAAAGCAATTTACACATATAATGCAATACCAATCCAGATTCCAATGACATTCTTCAAAGAGATGGAGAAAACAATTACAAACTTCATATGGAAAGGGAAGAGACCCAGGATAAGCAAAACACTGCTTAAGAAGAAGAATAAGGTTGGAGGCCTCTCACTTCCCAACTTCAAATTTTACTACACGGCTAGAGTGGTCAAAACAGCTTGGTACTGGTACAATGAACGATACATAGATTAATGGAACAAAAACAAGAATCCAGAAATTAACCCATCTACATACAGCCAAATGATTTTTGACAAAGTACCTAAATATATTGCATTGGGAGGTGATAATCTCTTCAACAGATGGTGCTGGCAGAATTGGAAAGGGATATGCAAAAGACTGAAACAAGACCTTCACCTCACACCTTATACAAAAATCAACTCAACATGGATTAAAGACTTAAATGTGAATCCCAGAATTATGAAGGCCATCAATGAAAAAAATAGGGACAATTGTGAGGGCACTAATTCAGGGAATACACAGACTACCAACATTTTGAAAACCACACAAATAAAAGTAGACAAAATAGATGAGTGGGACATACTAAGTATTAAAAACTTATATGCATCAAAAGACTACACCAGTCGAGTAAAAGGGGAACCCACAGAATGGGAAAAAAGTCTTTTGCAATGAAACATCAGACAAGGGACTTATTTCTAAACTATACAGGAAACTGCAACACCTCTACAAGAAAAAGACAAACAACCCATTTAAAAAATGGGCGAAGGACATGAACAGACACTTCAGCAAGGAGGAGATCCAGGCAGCCAACAAATATATGAAGAAATGTTCACGATCACTAACCATTAGAGAGATCAAATCAAAACAACAATGAGATATCATGTCACACCAGCAACAGCAGCAAAGAACAAAAAAGTAGAGGACAATAAATGGAGGTGGGGATGTGGAGAGATTGGGACGCTCCTGCATTGCCGGTGGGACTGCAAAATGGTCCAACCTCTCCTGGAAAACAATATGGTGTTTCATCAGAAGGCTAGAAATAGAAATACGTTATGCTCCAGCAATTCCTCTACTTGGTATTTACCCACAAGAAATATAAACCATAACATGAGTAGATATATGTACAGCAATGTTCACAGCACCACTATTTACAAGAGCAAAAAGATGGAGACAACCGAAGTGCCCATCAACTGAAGAACAGATAAACTATGGTACAAACACACAATGGAATATTATGCTACCTTGAAGAACAACAAAGAGGCTGCAAGCCAATGCATAGCATAGATGAACCTTGAGGACATTATGTTGAGTCAAATTAGTCAGTCACAAAAGCTAAATACTACATAGCACCACTACTGTAAAAGACTAAGAAAAAGAACCCATACTAAAGGTGGATGGGGGAATTCTTTGCTGGCTACTGGGATATAGGGAGGGGAGGGAGGGGAAGGTGGAACACAGGGTAGAGAATAGACATAGGATAGTTTGGGTGCTAGGGAGGCAGGCAATATACAAGAAGGGGGAGGGGAATGGAAGAGCAAAGCAGATGGAAGATCAATTAGGCAGGTTTGCATGGGCTAAGTGGGACAGAGGTAAATAATGATGTATGCACAACCTTGGAACAACAGGGCTCTGGGATACAGGGATTGAAACATGGTAGAAATGGGGTAAAGGGGGAAAATAATGTTAAGATGCTTGGCTTTCTTATGAATAGTGGTTTCCCTGGCACACTATTATAAAATAGACACTTGAAAGGGAGCGAAAGGAATAGCCAGAAATATCGCCACAGAAAGCTTGTAAGTCCGTCTTCTGCCTATAACTGATTGGAATACCTAAAATGGGGCTACAACATGCCCAGTGAAGGAGGCTTCCTGGGGAACCTCTGCATTACGTAAGACCATAGGTAGAATCCTGAACAACATCCTGAATCTTCAGAGGAGGGAAATTTCCACTTGAAAGGACAAGCAGACCAGCCTGGACCAGCTAGAAGAACAGCACCATAAATTGAGATCGTTTGCAACCAAGTAACCTGAGTATCCACCCCTTCAAGCCAAAATTGTCTTTCCTATGCTTGCCCTCTAAAATGGCAGATCTACAGATAGGCAAGGTCCTTCCAAAAGTATTCCTCCCCATACTGTTGTTAAGTGCTGTGGAGTCAGTTTCAACTCATAGAGACCCTGTATAGCATTTCCCAGGAGGGAGTCTGAACCACTAACCTTGTGATTAGCATTTCAGTGCTTATCCTATAGTACCACACTAGTGTTCCATACAGGCCACAATAAATCTCTCCTTGAAAACACAATGACCCAGGAAAACCAGGTGGCAGAAATTATTTGAAGATACCAGCTAAAAGGAACTGGTTGGCTAACCAATGACTATGTCGCCTACATCTAAAATGAGCTACTTCACTCAGAAACTTTAAGAGGGTAAACAGATTTTTTCTACTAAGAGAAATTTTAAGGTGAGTTTCTTCAAAAATTGTTAAAGAGGAATATTTTTTAATGTTTCACATAACATTTACATCTTCCCCCACACTATATACTGTGCTTTGGGAACTTTGGTGGAGGTTTTGTTATTTTTCATAACTGCAACTGCATTTTCTATGGTTCCATCTTTTCTAAAGGACTTTCCAGTTTACTTCATTCATTAACTGCTCTAATTCCCATTTTTCAGATAAGTGAAAGTGTGACACAGTAAGATCAGCCCTGGACTGCAAACCGCAAGGTCAGCAGTTCAAACCCAGTAACTGTACACCTCAAAGGTACTTACCAACAACACATTTCTGAGCTACAGTCACTTTGTTTTGTTGTTGTTGTTAAGTGCTGCCAAGTCTGTTCCAACTCATAATGGCTCATAATAGTGTTTCTGAGGAACGGCTGGTAAGTTTGAATTGCCAACCTTGCTGTTCAAACTGACCTTGTGGTCGAGTGCGTATCCTACACTGCCACACCTGGACTCAAAGTTAGGAGTTTTAATGTAACTAGTGTGGAGCTCTGGTAGCGTAGTGGTTACGAATCGGGCTGCGAACCTTAAGGTCAGCGGTTCGAAACTACCAGCGGCTCCGCGGGAGAAAGATGAGGCTTTCTACTCCCGTAAGGATTTACACCCTCGGAAACCCTGTACAGGGTCGCTATGGGTCGGAACCGACTCGAAGGCACTTAACAACAACAACAACAGTGTGAAATAAAGCAATTTTTTAATAAAAGCTCTTATAGTAAAACTGTTACCTTATTGAATCACTGCATTTATCTGTTAGGAATTTAAATTAACAGTTATTACCTTTACCATTTTCCCACTAATCTCAGGCATATCTCCCATTTTCCGATTATCCAGCATCCGAATTTCGTAAGACTGACCTATTGAAAGAAATAGAGCATTAAAAATAATCCATATAAAGAACATTACTTTTATATATATCTGATCATTGCTAATTTCAGATGGATCTTGGCTGAAAACAGAGAATCCCATAAAGATGTTTACTTGTGCTTTACCGATCTTAACAAATTACGAATTAACACTGCAAAGAATGAGAATTCCAGAACAGTTCATTGTGCTGATATAGAACCTGTCTGTAGACCAAGAGGCAGTCATTTGAACAGAAAAAGGGGAAACTCACTGCCTTCTAATTAGGGTATGTGCCAGGGTTGTATACTTCTATCATACCTAGTAAATCAACATGCTGAACAAATAATCCAAGAAGCTGGACTGAATGAAGAAGATTAAACAGATATCAGGATTGGAGGAATATGCAATAACAACTTGTGATATGCAAATGATACAATCTTGCATGCTAAAAGTGAAGAAAACTTGAAGCATTTACTGATAAAATTACTACAGCCTTCAATATTGTCTACAAATTAATGGAAAGAAAATAAAAATCCTCACAACTGGACCAACAGACAACATCATGATAAACAAGAGAAAATATTGAAGTTGTCAAGGATTTCATTTCACTTGGATTCACAATCACGGACATCGGTGTTTACATCCCAGAGGCAAGAATTAGATAATGCCCAAATACCACTACAGGGATCACATTAGAAGGTCCTGGATAGAGTGGGAGAAAAATGTGGAATAAAACTCACATCATGAAAAAAGAGCACGTTCTCTGTACACATAAAGATTGAGACGATGGCTCTTAGCCACACTTAGGGTCTGGAAATGAACTCGCCTCCATGATTCAATTTTCAGCCAAATACTAAAACAGGTCTATAAGGTGAAAAGTAACACTAGGGTGGTAGGTGCTCCTTAGAATGATCAACCATTTGAGATCAAAAGGGCAGCATTTACCCAAGGACAAAGTTCAGATAGGTTCGGGGGAAAAAAAAGAGGAATGGAAATGGGAAACAAAGGGAGGAACTGGAATAAGTGACATATATCGTAAGAACTGATCAGTGATGTGAAACAAAATGTGTATGCATCAGTTGAATGGAAAATAAATTGGCTTTGTAAGCCTTCATCTAATTCACAAAAATTAACAACAAAACAAAAACAGTCGCTTTAAAGTGTTAAAAAAAATAAAGTTGTCACTTTGAAAACTAAGCTATGCCTGCTCCAAGTCATGGCATTTTCAACCTCCCAATGCATGTAAAAGTTGGACAATGAACAAGGAAGGACTGATTCATTTGAATTATGATATTGGTAAACAATATTAAATATGCCCTGGACTGCCATAAGAATGAATATATCTGTAATGGAAAAAGTACACAGCCAAAATGGACCAGTTCTTGGAGAAGAACATCATGCTTGGGGAAGTTGCTGTTGTTTGTTAGGCTCTGTTGAGTTAGTTCCACCTCACAGTGACCTCATGCACAACAGAATAAAACCCTGCCAGGTACTGTGCTATCCTCCCAATCATTACACTTGAGTCCACTGCTGCCGCCACTGTACCAATCCATCTCATGGGGGATGTCCTCTTTTCTGCTGACCTTCACTTTACCAAGCATGCTGTCCTTCTCAAGGGATTGGTTTCTCTTAATAATATGTCTGAGTTATGAAAGACAAAGTCTTACCATCCTAGCCTCTAAGAAGAATTCTGACAGTAATTTTTCCAACAGAGATTTATTTGTTCTTCTGGCAGTCCATGATATTTTAAATATTATTCTGTAACACCACACCATAACTCAAATGCATCTGTGCTCTTGAACGCTATGAAGAGCTCCTGTGCAGCAATTAAGTCATTTGATTTCTGGACAACTGCTTCCATGAGTGTCCATAGTGGATCCATGCAACATGAAGTCTTTGACAACTTCAATTTTTCTCCATTTATCAAGATGTTTTACTGGTCCAGTAATGAGTATTTTTGTTTTCTTTACATCGAAGTGCAACTCACTGAAGGCTGTGGTTTTTGACCTTCATCACCAAGTATTTTAAGTCCTCTTCGCTTTCAGCAAACAAGGTTGTATTATCTGCTAATTGCAGGTTGTTAATGACTCTTTCTCTAATCCTGATGCCATGTTCTCCTTCATATAATCCAGCTTTACAGGTTATTTGCCCAGCATAGAGACTGAATAAGTATAGTGAAAGAATACAATCCTGGCACACCTTTCCTGCTTTTAAACCATTCAGTGTCCTCTTGTTCTGTTCGAACAACTGACTCTTGGTCTATGTACACATTCCAAATGAGCACAATTAAATGTTCTGAAATAACCATTCTGCACAATGTTATCCTTAGCTGTTATGACCCAAAAAGTTGAAAACCTTTGCATAGTCAGTATGTTGTTGTTGTTAATTGCCACCGGACTCATAGGGTTTCTGACGAGCATCTGGTGAGTGTGAACTGCCAATGTTGCGGTTCACTGCTTATCCTACAGTGCCAATCCAGGACTTCATATATAAGACAGGTAAAAACCTTTTTCTGGTTTTTGACCAGTTTCAGGAGGAGAACATGCCTGGTGAAATACAGGGTCAGCAAAAAAGAGAAAGACCCTACTGAGCTGGATTAGCACAATGATTATACCAATGGGCTCACACATAGGAACAACTGTGAAGACTGCACAGGACCAAGGTAGGGTTTCATTCTGTTGTAGTTAGGGTTGTAAGGAGTCAGAGCTAACTTAATGGCACCTAATAACAACAAAAACTTGCTTGTATCATATCATGGTGGTACTAGTGATATGCCGTGGAGTCAATTCCGACTCATAGCGACCCTGTACAGGCGTTTCTGAGGCTATAAATCTTTACAGGAGCAGAAAGCCTCATCTTTCTCCCGCTTAACAGCTGGTAGTTTCGAACTGCGACCTTGTGGTTCACAGCCCGATTCGTACCACTATAACATAGATAATGCTAATTAAACTCTTAGAGGAGGACTGTGCAAGTAAAACTCTGCCTCCAAATGAAGAGATTATTTGGGGAGAAGTTAGAAACAATGATTCTTTTTACTTTGAAGAGATAACTACTCTGATCTAACAGCAATGAACCACTTGGCAATGAGCGAATCTGGAACAAATCAAAGGGCCAAGATCCTCGCAAAAGTCTGCAAGTCTGGGGCAAGATGGCAAAGCAGGCAGACACACTGAACCAACCCTCTGCAAGAAAGCCATGGGAGACCAAGTGCAGATAAAGATAGTGATACTGAAACCCTGCTGGGGACATAATACGCAGACTCTGGGTTGATCAGTGGCAGCCCCATTGAACCACCTCTGAATATAATCAGTTTAACCCAGATGCTCTTCTTCCTCCTGAAAGTATATAGGAATGTGATAATTTAGAGCAACGTAGCATTTTAGGTATAGATAAATGAAGCCCGGTTCCTGAGATCTTG